AGCAACCCGGCCCCAGGCTCAAAAAGGTTGCCTACCTCTGCTCTAGAGAATAGGAATCGGGACAACGGATGCAAGCTACAGGAAAAGAGATACCACCTCAGCATTAGGAGACACTTCCTGACAGTGAGAGTTGTTCACAGTGGAACACACTCCCTCAGAGTGTTGTGGAGTCTCCTTCCTTGGAGGTCTTTAAACAGAGGCTGGATGGCCATCTGTCAGGGATGGTTTGATTTTGAGTTCCTGCATGGCAGGTGGTTGAACTGGATGGCCCTTGTGGTCTCTTCCAACTCTATGATTCTATGATTTATATCCTGCCTTTCTTCCAGTAATGGGACTCAAGGTTGATAACAATAACAACATTTTAAAATAATACAAATCAAAAATAATACAAAATTTAAATGTAAGTATAAAATATACAATTAAGCAATCATATTTGAAAACAATTAAAATATTAAAACACATTTAAAACAATAAAAGTAAAAAAAAGAACTATATGCAAACACTCACCATACATCCACAGCAGATCATGGGAACAAGTTTTAGAGATCTGGGTGAGGAGCTCTCTCAGGCATACATCCCACCTTGGGCACCGAACTTGACTTCAGCAGCCTGCTATTTTCCTTTGCTTTGTTCACTAAATAGGAGCTGCTTTTCTCATCTACTATCATCCCTCCCTGCTGATCACTATATTGTGTAAGTGCTTTGGGGCCTAGCTGAGTGATGTGCTATAGCAGGGGTAGGCAACCTTTCCCCTTTAAGGGCCAAGGGACTTCAGCTCCCAGAAGCCTCAGCCTTGTTGGCCAATAATCCCATGTTGGCCAATAGCTCCTGGGATTCTGGGAGTTGAAGTCCCTTGGCCCTTAAAGGGGAAAGGTTGCCTACCCCTGTGCTATAGTGTGTGATAAAAGGGGGAAAAGGGAGTTAGTGAAGGCAGATGGAGGTGTTGCCACAGTGCAGAAATAAAGTAGTTTGGCAACACTTTATCTTCCATGGCTCAGTGCTTTGGAATTCTGGGTTTTGTAGTTTGGAGGGGCACTAAAGTTCCACTGGGAAGGCTAAATACCTCACAAAACTGCATATCCCATAATTACATAGCATAGATTCACAGCAGTTAAAGTGATGTCTGCTGTTGTTGTGTGCCTTCAAGTCATTTCCAATTTATGGCAACCCTAAGTCAAGCCTATCCTGGGCTTTTCTTGGCAACATTTGTTCAGAAGGTTTGCTATTGCCTTCCCCTGAGGCTGAAAGCATGTGATTTCCCCAAAGTCATGCAGTGGGTTTCATGGCTGAGCAAGGAATTGAACCCTGGTCTTCAGAGTTGTAGTCCAATACTCAAACCACTGCACCACACTGGATCTCAAACTGCCTTATCTCTGAAGTGTGGCAGCAACCATGTTTGTAGTTTCCATGCACCATTTTAATTTATTACACTTTCTCCTTGGCTTCATGCTTCTAAAGAGGGTAACAGATTGTCTAAGGTCCCCACCAATCCTGTCACTTTGGGGCCATTTAATAAATTAATGGCAGGAAAACGTTGATGCTGTGGTTAGTATTAACACCTCTGGCTTTTCACCAGCAAGCATTGTCCCATGGGTGAGGTCTTGCACCCATAGCCCAGCCCTAATACTGCAACTATACACATGCAACAGTTAGCAAGAGCAACCTATTTCTAGACAAAGTATACTGGGCATGATGATAATGAAAATTCCATTTATTAAGGGGGGGGGAACTTGGTTTAAAATTAAAAAAATACACTTTCATCTTGCCAATTAAAGACAACGCATTGAAGAAATTTGTGTAGACTGAATATTTTGTCCCAGACCTATGTAAGAATGGTGGGGTGTGTCATTTCACTGGTGTACTTATGCAAATAACTGACATACTTATGTGAAAGACAGCCTACTGACAGTGGAGTGGTAGTTTCCCAACACAGTCACTGACCATGAAGGGATGGGGATGTTTCCATCAACTGACCAGCCTGTAAGTTGGCCCATTGTGCTATTGATAGGCAGGGAATTGCTTGCCTAAGGAGGTATTTCGTACGATCGTCAGTGGAAACAATAGTTTCTTGAGAGTTTCAACGATTATATTCTCCTTCTCTTTGTAAAATAATTTGACAATTAATAATGTTACTGTATATTTTTTGTGTACTACATATGTGTCACTACAACCAAACTAGGACTGCTGTCACACTGCAAAATAAATGCAGTTTAACACTGCTTTAAGTGTCATGGTTTCATCTTGTGGAATCCTGGGATTGTAGCTTGTTGTGGCACCAGAACTCTTTGACAGAGAAGGCTAAATATATCACAAAATTACAAATCCCAGAATTCCATAGCAATGAGCCATGGCAGTTACAGTGGTATCAAACTGCATGCATTCTGCAGTTTAGATGCAGCCAACAAGTGTTTGATTCAGACACATTTGTCTCCATAGTGTATAAAACAAGGAAGCAGGCAATGCTTGTATTCCAATCATTATTCTAATGTGTTTATTTATCAATGGATCACAGATCATTTTTTCCTCTGCAAGAAATAGAATTTACCTCATCATATTTACAGTAAATATCACAGAGGATTGACAAAAATAATTTCCATTTCAACTTTTATCTTATTCTGTCATGAATGTTATGATTGTTTACACATCTGCATGTTACTTCCTTGAGTGGAGTGTAAATAACTAGCATTTTGTGGGCTCCATCCATTGGCAGTCATAAGGCAAGCAGAACCTCCATTTGCACCTGAGTAAAAGGGAGTGAGCTAGTTGAATATTTCTGACAATCTCCAAAGTAAAGACTAGACAAACTGACAGATACACACAAATTTCATGTGCAGCCCCAAGCAAGCTGAGCAAAAAGCTATATGATGACTGGAATATAAAATGAAGAATGTGCTATGCCAATTATTATACAATGAAATGTAAACATGTGGCACATATAGGGAGATATATAGGGTCTCATTGGCATCTCTGCATATGCAGGTTTTTTAAAACCAAAAAGTAACTTTTCACCTGCCATTCAATGGTATCTGTAAATCAACTCCATATCTCTATAACTGGTGCAGGAATGTGTTTTTTATTTCATTTTTGCATGAAAGAACAAAAAGAAAAAAGTATTCACCTCTCTTGATGTAATTGTGAGTTTCTGTGCATTTTTCCTTTCTTTTTGTTTTTTTCCCTAATTAAATTTTACAACAAAACACATAATGTCTGTAGAACAATGACAAAAACAACAAAAATAACAATTAACTGTAGGGGCCAAACTATGTATCTGATTAGTGGTTTTGCAGGACCTTTTAATGTCAATATTTTTGTTGGAAAATATCATCAGAAAACTTTTTTTTCCACACATGCAGACAAAGATGTTATATACATACCCTTTTTGCAATATTTTCACAAAAGAATCCCAAAATACTACCAAATCTCATAGTGAGATCCTTTCCTGTCAAGGGAGATAAAATTTGAGAATATTCCTTCTGTTCCTAGTGAAGTGTTCATTTCCTAGCTAGAAATTTCCAACAATTGATGTTTTCAATCTCTATGATGTGGGAACAGTGAGGCAATAGATATCATACTTCTGGAGTGGAATATTAAATTCACAATACTTTCTTCTTTAAACTTATAATGTATTTTAACTGCTGGAATCTTCATCATAAATTAATTATGATCTGAAGATGCAATCATTGCCATTAAGCAATAACAATGTGAGTAAATTACTTTTACAGTCATGAGTATCAGGGTTTGTTGACAAAAGTCATGCAATTTTTATATCTGCCTTTTCTGTTTATCAGATTTACTTCACCCTGCTGGGGTGAAAAGAATGTTTTCAATATTCCCCCTGAACAAGACAAAAGTTTGTGGTATCTCCAAGTTATTATTCAGAACAACCACAGTGGGAGAAAGGATTGATTACCAACAAGCATCTTCTGAAAGAGCAAACAGAGGGTTTAGTACTATTTTTTCTTCTGTTGCAGTACCAGTTGTTTTCTTTAAAAAAAGAGCAAAATACTGTGCCCCCCTCCCCGAACAATGAATAAACCTTCTCATCCAGCATTATGCTGGTCATCCTTCTCAAAAAGGTTTTTCAAGCTTTTCACATCACTTGTCAGGCATATGGGTTCTAGAACTAGAAAAATAGTATAATTGATTGATTTGATTATTCATTGCAATATTTTTATCATGCTCAATATCATCAGATCTCTGGGCACCTTACAGTAAAATCACGTTAAGCCATTTAATATGTTAAACAATAACAAAATGTAAATGGTCTGAAAACATATTAAACAACTAAATAATCAAACAGCTGAATAATGAGAAGGGGAAAATAAAACAGTGCAACTCCAGCTACCTCATGTTGGGGATCAGCAGTCTTCCTTCCCCACCCTACCCCCACACCCATTCCTGCATGCTAGGTACCAGGGCCATATTCATCAAAGTACACTGCTCTGGGTATGATAGATATTTTTACTGTTTGGGTGTAGGATTCTGTAGCCTTTACATCCTGGGTATATACCACGAGTATACTTAATGCTGCATTATTGTCAAATTTGGTTGTTTTGTCTTTTAGAATGTATTCCTAAGCCTTGGACTCAAATGCTCTCATGTGCTCCATGTGTGGGCAATACACTCGATGCGATCTTTAGTAAAGATCAGGAACACCCATAGGCTGAGGTAATCCAGACTTCTGCCCTATCATGGGCGGACCACTTCTTGGTCAAAGTGGGATTGAAGGCTACTCCCTATATTCCTCTCGGGGGTAGAGGACCTACTAGAATGGTCTACCCTTGAAGGCTGATGGAACCCAAAAGGTTCTAGGAAGCCTTAGAAGGTTTTATGGTTGGGAACAACAGCAACTCTGTCAAAGCCTTGGTTGACACTTGGAATAACGATCACACCAGGGCTATTGACATTATCGCTCCCAAGCATCCTTTTCAACCCACTTCAAATAAAAAACCCTGGTATACTGGACATCTTCACCAAATGAAGCAGGCTGTACAACAACTGGAGTGCCTGTGGTGGAAACTTCAACGTTTATTTGAAAATACACATCATAGGACCATGTTGGATTCCTATCGAGTGGCAATAGATGCAGCAAAGAATTCTTTCTATGCTGCACGCATTGTATCTGCAAAGTCTCATCCAGCAGAGCTGTTCAGGGTGGTTAAAGAATTGACTCAATTGGCTCCCACCCTGAACCCACTATTGGAACCAAATAAAGCCTGCTGTGGTGCTTTTAATGATTTCTTTGTAGATAAAATCTCTCAGATAAGGGTCAATCTGGATGCTGACATTATAACAGAACCAATAAGAGAGATATCCAGAGACTCCACAGTCTGTGTTAAACTGGATCATTTTGAGTTTGTCAATACTGATGAAGTGGACAAGCTGATATGCCAGCTGCACCCTTTCCTGGAAGTAAGGGACCTTGAGACTGTGGTGCACGCACTAGTAACCTCCCATCTGGATTATTGCAATGCTCTCTACATGGTCCGGAAACTGCAATTAGTACAACACAAGGCAGCCAGAGTGGTTCCGGGAACATCTAGGAGAGACCACATAACAACGGTATTGAAATCTCTCCACTGGCTGCCTGTTGGTTTCTGGGCCCAGTATAAGGTATTGGTTATGACCTTCAAAGCCCTAAATGGCTTATGTCCAACCTATCTTCAGGACCGCCTCCTCCCATATAATCCTCCCCGCACTCTCCGGTCCTCTGGGAGTAACTTGCTTCAGCATTAAAATCTAGGCTGTCCATGTTAGGATATGGATGGGATATACAGTCAAAGGTGAAATGTAAA